CAGGCATGGGCTCCCCCAGATGACCAGAGTGCGCAGGTGAGACAGGGATCCCTGGGGATTCAGCAGAGCTTCTGGGAGAGGCGGGGGGCAGAAAGAGCTTTGGCTCATCAGAGAAACAGGCACACAGGTGCAGCTGGGCGGCTGGGCAGGAGCGCCCAGGCAAGGCGGCTCAAGGGGGCAGGCATCGCCCCTCACCTGCAGCTCCCACAGGGAGCTCTCCAGAGCTCGGCTCTTGGCTGGGTCCTCCTCCCCAGGGTCATAGGGGTCAGCGTCCAACTCTAGAAACGAGACCCAGACCCTGGTCTGCCACCTACCGCAGTGCACCGGCCTCTGCAGCCAGGCCTCCCCAGGGCCCCCAGCTGGCCACTCACCAGGGCCCCCTGGGCGGTGCACCAGCACGCGGCAGGCCGGGTGTCTGCGCAGCAGGTTGCAGATGAAGGGCAGGACCATGAGCAGGGCCTCGGGGGGCGCCGTCAGGGCCAGGCGGGACAGGCGCTTGGCAAAGGCAGCCACCAGGTAGGCAGGCAGATGGCTGAGCAGGGTGGCGGCCGTGAGCCCCCACTGCCCTGCACAGCAGCCCCTAGCCCTCTCCTGACCCAAGGCTGTAGCCCCACGGGGCCGGGCCGGGCTCAGCTCCGGGTGGGGCACAGGTGGCTCTGACGCTCCGAGGTCAAGCCAGACGCCCCCCGCCTCCTGGGTACTCACGAGGATGACAAGAAGAGGTCAGCCAGGTGGAAGAAGCGGGCCCGGTACTTGACGTGGAAGACGGACGGGTCCAGGAGGCCGTAGAGCTTCTGATAGAAGTCAGGGTACTCCCTAGGGGTGTGGGGACACGCACGAGTGTAGAAGCACAGATGAGAGAACAGGTCAGGAGCCCAAGGAACCACAGACGACAGGGGCTCTGCTCCACCTCCCGGGGAGACCCAGCAGGCTCTCTAAAGCCACTTGACTCCTGGGCAGAGCAGGGACCCCAGCCTTGGGCGGGGAAGGGACGGGAAGGACAGACAGGATGGACTGAAATGTCTGCACACCCCCACGTCGACACTCACAGGTTGTGCTTATGAATCAGGATAAAAAGTCCGTTCAAGGCCAAGAGGCTGATGGCCCCCCCTGCAAACAAACACACAGTCGTGGACCCCAACCCACCGCACCCACCTGGGATGAATCCAGCAAAGCTAGAGGCCACGTGCTGGGCAGGGCTGGCAGAGCCAACTGTCCACAGGCCCGCCCACCTCAGTCTAGCCACGAGAGAGAAAGAAGTCTCCGGCACACCTGTCACTGGCTGGTTGGGCCCCCTGGTCATGGCCCTGCCGGCTGCACGAGTGTATGGCCCCACCCGCCGGGCACTTCCGACTCACCGATGTCGTAGGCACGGGTGAGGAAGTCGATCATGAGGCTGGGCTGGGCCAGATGCGGCAGGATGGAGTCGTGCATGATCACCAGCACTTTCTTGCAGAGGCTGAGGGGCAGCTGGGAGGGGCGGGGCGGGTCAGGGTGCAGCCGACACCCACCCCCACAACCACACGGGGCGCTGTCCCAGGCCTACCTCGTGTTTGAGGAAACCAAGCCACATCAGCTGGAAGGCTCTCCTGTGCTCCTGTGGGGAGGGGGACGGAGGCTGCACACGCTGCCCCAACCCCCACTCTAGCCACCACCCCGAGATGGGGAACGCCACGTGTCCCCACCCCCCTGTTCCAGACACTGCCCCACCCCCCCTCCTGCCATGTGTGGGTAGAAATAGCCGGAACCTGAGGCATCCCGGCCAGCTCCTCTGCATCTCTCGCAGCCACAGAAGAGTAGGCAGGCGCTGCATTCACAGCCACCTGGGCACTGACACTGAGCACCAATCCCTCCTGAGGGGTCCGGGCGGGCCATCTCTGACCTCTGGGAACAGGGTGCCTGCTGGCCTCCTCCTCCCCTTGGGGCCTCACGAGTGGCCCTGGTGGGTGTCTAAGCTGGGAAGAAAGCAGCTGCCCCACTCCTCGTATCCCACACAGGCTGCCTATGTCCGGGGGGTTGATGGCGCCCCAGAATCGGCCTGTTCCCAGGGAGGCCCCCGCCCTCCAGAGCATCTCACCTTCAGATGAACGACCTTCCACTTGTCCGACAGCTCTGCAACGAAGGTGAGAGGTCATTTGACACACAAGACGGAGGCAGGGGCTCGTCAGGGTGCCAATGTGTGAGGCTCAGGCGCCCCTGCTGGCCCACCTGCCCCAAGAACTCACCCGTGTGCCCCACGTAGAAGTTGGAAATGTCACTCTCCTGGCGGGGCAGGCTCACGGCAGACAACAGCGTGAAGGCATTGTTCCAGAAAACAAGGGGTACCTGCCGGAGGTGCGGTGTGAACACCTAGACGCCGCACACCCACTGTCCACTGCCCACACCCAGAGATGGGACCCAGCCAGCTCACCTCAGGGTGCCCAGTGGCGACCTGGGCCACGGTGTCTGAGGCCGCCTGCATCGTGTGGTAGCGGATGTCGTCGTGTTCCAGATACTCCTGGAACTGGGAGAGGAGCAGCGAGCGGTCCTCCTCGGGTGACAGCAGGCCTTCCACCACCAACTGGGTGCAAGACCGGGAGGTGAGCCTCTCCCACCCCTCAGGATGGGGCAGCCCAGGGATGGAACTCACCAAGCAGAGTCCAGGCGGGCTGCCAGGGTCCCTGCTGAACCCCACAACCAGTGGACTGGCCCAGGAGACCCCTGAGGCGGTAGCCTCCCTGCCTCCCACAGGGGAGGAAGCACCACGTACAACAGCCACCTGTGCCAGGGACCCATCCCAGCTCTAGCAGCTAAGGCCTGTGGGGACCCCAGCACCCCCTCACCTTGAAGAGCTGGCGGGGGAACAGATAGTTCCCTTCCCACTTGGGCTTCTCCAGGGGGTGTGCTCCTTCCAGCTGCACAAACTTCATGAGTGTTCCGAGAGCCAGCTCCTGGGAAGAGCGGGTGGTGAAGTGGCTGCGATGACCCCAACCACACGTCATCTCCCCTGCAGAAAAGCCCACAGAGCTGCCTCCAGCATTCAGGCCTAAATGCCCATGAGACGTCACCCTTGTAAGACTCAGGAAACATGACAACACCACCCACCAAAATCCTAACCAAGAAAAAGAAGAAAAAAGCTTCCCTGCCCAGACAGGTAAACGGGGGAAGACTCGTGCCTGCAGCCACAGCCCCCGGTTGCTGCCGTGTGCGGAGAGTCTGGGGGCTGGGGGTGCAGAGGACGCACAAGGACGGGCAAGACCAGCGACCCCAAGACTCACCTTGACCTGAAAGGAAGGGTGGGCCAGGAGCTCCCCCAGGCGGTTGCAGCAGCTGTGGTAACGGTGCCTCATCCACACCTTGTACTTCCGCGTGGCCCCCTGGGACCCTGCAGGCGGGGCAGGGTGGTCAGCCCACAGGGATGCCCACACACACCAGGCTGGGCCCAGCCCCACCCTCCCACTGTCCTCTCCTCGACCCAACCAGGGAAGTGAGTGCAGACAAACCACCGAGGCCCATTCCCCCAACCAGGGAGAGCCACTCCTACAAGGGCCGGGTCCCCACCTCCTCATTTTACCCCAAGATCTGGACGCCCAAGAACCACAACATGTAGCCCCAACTTTACATAGGATCACAACCCACGTTAAACAGCATCAAATCCCACAAACGGCACAAAACACACACAAAGAATCACGCCTTGCTCAACCTTCTCTAAACTTAGTTATAAAGTCACCAACCTTTACCACCCACCCACCCCCAACAGAATCACCCGTTCCCACTTCCCGCGGGCTTGGGGTGTTCTCTCACCAACCTGGACGCTCTGTGATGATGGGGTTTGGGGGGCTCAGGGCTCATCTTATGCTGGCAAGGTTCCCTCCAACCTCGTGAGGAGGCCCAGGGCCCTCCGGACGCTCACCTGCCATGACCGTCTCCTCAGGGGGCAGCTGGCCCACAAACAGCTCTCCCCGCTCCAGCAAGGCCCCGAAGAGGCGGCTGCACGCGCGCACGGCTTCCTGGATCTCCTCCTGGTCCTCGGACTGCGGGGAGAGGCCGGTCGCAGGGTGCCCCGCCGGGAACCGTGGCCCCTGCCCCTGTCCCCGCCGGACTCCAGCCCCACCGCACCTCACCCGTGACCCCGGCGTGACCCCGACCCCGCCTCTGCCAAACCTCCCGCTGGACCCTCCAATCGGGGAGGCCTGCGAGACTGGGCAAGGCCCCAGGCAGAGTCCGAAGCCGCTCTGCGACTGTCTGCCTGCACCCGAGCCGGAGGGGGGCCCCGGTCTGGCCTCCGGCCCCGGGACCGTGGCCGCGACCCCGCCGCCCCCGCGGTCCCACCTGCAGCACGGCCAGGATGTCGAACACGGCGTTGGCCTCGCCGCGGCTCGCCAGCACCGCCTCCAGCAGG